TAAGGTCCGGAGTTAGCAGAAGTTACAGTCAGGACAATCATTCGAGGACGAATGATCCCAAGGCGGAGATAATGTAACACCCCGTAAATTCGGCTCAGGAATGAATGAGTTAAAGGAGTAGTAAGGTTATATTTTGGGCATGTGAAGTCCTATCGGGATGATTATAGGTAAAATAGTTGTTTCAAAATCAAGATGGAAAGTGAGGTACATAAGATTTGACAAAATCGATCAAGTTTGCAGAAGGTTTGTCTTCCAGCAAGGTTTAGTACAAATATGTAAGGAATTTTGGAAAACTCAAAGCATGGAAGTTGTAGGCCTTTGAAATAGCTTTCCAACAATATATTATGGAGCCCGAACGGATCTCTGTGCAAAAGGTTATGCGCGTTTTACAGAACAGTATGCGATATGCGCGCCGGTAGCGCGCCCTTAGCGCGGCCGCGCTAATTTTGAGGCAGTGTTACTGCCGTTTAGCGCGGGCAGGCCTCCAGATGCGCGGGCGCGCTAGTGGGGGGTCATTTTAAAGCCATATTTCGTCCCCACAGCCCCAAAATATAAAAACTTGCTCTAGATAGGAGAACTCTCAAAAACCTAACTCCCTAAGGGTCCTTCCACAACCCAAGGTAAGTTCTAATGGTGATTCTAAGTTAATTTCAATATCCCAACATCTTATTAACATGGGTAAACCCTCCATATCATTAGATATTCGTTTGGGGCATCATTGTTGAGAGAAGAAACCCTAGAACTCGAATTCAAGAAGATTGAACGTCAAAAAGGTAATGTCTTCACCCTCTAATTGATTCTAGCATTGGATTAATGATTATTGACTCAAGTTCATGAGATATGAGTTGATGGGTTTGATAGAAAAGTATGAACAATTATAGGTTTGGCTTGTTGATTGTTGATTATTGGTTAAGGGTGTTGTTTACCTTATGGGTGATAAAGAATAATGTTGATTATAACCATTTGAGACTTTAGAATTTATTTAGGAGCAAGAGAATGGGTTATTGGGTGTAGAAACACCATTAATAAGGACTAGGAAGCTTTATGCCACCAAGTGTTTGAGAAAATGCCTAAGTGACCAAAACATGAGTATTATTGCTAATATGGAATCTCTTTGACTTGTATTGATATATATTGAAGTTGAAGGGGTTGACGAATGTTGTATTACGCTCAAGACAGGAAGTTAAGGTATGTGAGGCTAACTCTCTATGTTTGGGAATATTAATGATTCTCCCTACACTACGTTTCTTTTACGACGTATCAATTGCCTCAAAATATATAGTTAAGCCTAGTTCCTTGAATAGTTGTAGAGCTTCTAATCTCTAGCTTCATAACTCGTTCATGACTTTCATTCTAAACGTTGTGAGCTCAGTGCGTATTCAATATAGACTTGGGTTTGATGCCCCCGAGTCTTGGTAGATTACTCAGTATGCCATAAACAGTTGAAGTTTCAGTGTTCATAATCAGTTCAAGAATACATGTCTCAGTCTAGTCCTATTCAGTATCCCAGTATTATGTAACTCAATGTGATTCAGTATTTCACTATCATATATTGCAGTATGATTCTCAGTTCCTGATTTTAAATCCCTGAATGTTGAACACTTGTATTTGGGCCTGAGGCCGCAGTTTATGCTTTATACATCTTTGGGCCTGAGGCCGCAGTTTATGCTTTATGCATCTCTGGGCCTGAGGCCGCAGTTTATGCTTTATGCATCTTTGGTCCTGAGGCCGCAGTTTATGCTTTATGCATTTTGGACCTGAGGTCGCAGTTATGTATACGTATACTTGGGCCCGAGGCCGCAGTTTGTACACATATATATATATTGGGCCTGAGGCTGCAGTTTAATATTCAGATAAACAGGTTGTTCATCATTCAGAAGAGGGAGTATTCATATCCTTCCTTTCAGTTCAATTATTAGTTACCGTTCAGTTATCAGTTATCATATCAGTTACCAGTTATCAGTTCAGTTACCAGTTATCAGTTCAGTTATCGGTTATCAGTTCAATTATCATTTATTAGTTATCATTTCATTTATCAGTTATCAGTTATCATTTCAGTTTCAGTTTCAATAGTTATCATTTCAGTTATCAATTATCAATTCTCAGATATCAGCTTAGTTTCAGTTTCAGCATTTATAATTCTTTCTTTCAGTTGCCTTACATACCAGTACAATTCAAATGTACCGACATCCCTTTTTGCCCAGGGCCTGCATCTCACAATGCAGGTAATGATTTACAGGTCGACGACGCAGAGCGCTAGGATTCTCGTACCAGCTATTTGGTGATCCCCAGTTCTTTCGGGGCATTATCATTACTTTACAGCCTTTCAGTATTTACAGATAGTCAGTGTTTTCAGTACTTCGGTAGAGGCTTCATAGACTAGAGTGACAGTTAGACAGAGTCTCGGACTTTTCATATTAAGCTATGTTGGCTGCAAATATGTTTCAGAAATGTAATAGTATTTCCGCCCTTTGATTTATATCATCCAGACTTTCAGTATATCAGCATGTGTTAGTTTATCTCCGTATTTAGTATGTTATGATACCACATGTTGATTCAGCCAACCACTTGGTTCGCTCGGTCACATGTAGTCAGGCACCGAGTGTCGTGTTACGTCCAGGCCCAGGTTCGGGCGTGACAATATCAAACAACTCTATCGTTGCACCAAAGAAATAGAAAAAGAGGGGTAAAAAAATGAACAAAACACTACCTGATACCCTACACTAAAAGAAATGAAAAGACAAGAAACCGGATATAAAATTTGAAATATCCCCGTAGCATTGGCAGTGCAGTAATCGCAGATTAAAGAAAGGTCTCTCACCTTCTTCCAAAAGTAATCATGTACTCTACCCAGTGCAGCACTTTCACCGCCAATAAACTTCATTCCTTTAGAAACCTGTAGAAAAACAGAAACATGAAAATACACATTTTATTTATGTGCACAAAGTAATCCACAATTCTTTTTATGCAACTCTAATGTTTGACCTGCCTTTTCCGACTGAAGCCCGAGCTCAGTAACTTGTGGGACACATCCCCAATCTCCAACCTCTGGTGGTGGACCAAGTGATGCTGGGAGTCTAATGCAATTACGGATTCTTGATTCGGATTCCACTGACTGTTAAGTTTAACCATCAACCACACAGCTGACGGATCAGATATGAGAAAGTATCCTGAATTGCAAGCCCCCTAACTCAGAAACATATCGTGAAGAATAATACCTTACGGAACTGAGTGTACACATCTGGTAAACTCTCACAGCCAAATGGAAGATCATCTATATGATACATAGTACTACCCCATAATAATTCCAGTTTAGTAGCATTTAAAGATCTTGGCTCATTGCCTACTCCACCAGATGACGGTGGCACAAACTCTTGCAATTTTCTTGTGACCAATTTTTCAACTTTTACTTCCTCGCTGCAGGTTTCCTTGTGGGCATACACCTGTAACATTCACACACCTCCTTACTACGTAGTTAACAGATATAAAATTGACTAGTTGTCATATAAGAAACATCAATGTGAAGAAAGAAAAAATGAAAGAAGCGGCTCCTTAACTGTGTGCGCTTTAAATGCTTTTGCAAGGGAAGGGATAATCTCTTCTGGTTTACCGTGTTGAATTAACAGGTCAAGTCCCCTCTTCACTAGATTCCTTTTCAAATCGGTTAAGCATTCTATGATGAATTGTGCCCTTAAAGCTGCCAAATACAAAAGACAAACCTTGAGCTCATCAAAAAGGCAGTGATAAAAGATTCAAGCAAATGAATTCAACTAAACCAAAGAAAATTGAAAAGAAGGATCACAAATAAAACATCAAAAGAAACAACTACACCTTAACCATAAACTTGTTGAGTCTGTTATATGAATCCTCTGTATCTCTATTTACCCATTTCATTCCAGTACTCAAAAGTGAAATAGGTTTCTCTAATTTTAAATCTCACATTTATGTATGACACTAAAAACACCTGACTATCACTGGACATAATGTAAATGTACAAAAATGAAAACTTAATCACAATTAGTTAGTTGTATTGGTGTATAATGTATATGGATCTTTTGCTTCCTTGAGTTTTGTCGTTAATGACTACTCCATATAGTAGTATTCATTTTTATATCCAAATTTATCAGGTCAGGTTTTTACTCCAAAAAATTAGTTCAACTGATTCTGGAAAAGCTAGCTAAAATAAACATAAAGAATTGAAACGCACGGAGTACAATAACAATTGAATCCCAATTGAAAAAAGAAAAAAATGAAGTGATTTACCTCCAGTTTTGGGCAATCCAAAATAATGGGTAGTCCCAAAAAGTGTAGGATCAACACAATAAACAGGCAATATTGCTTCAGATGAAACCCAAGCTCTAAAAAGAGCCTCATTATCCAACACTCTCAAGTCATTCCTGAACCAAACAATTGCAACCCCTTTACCTTTCCTCTCACCCAAACCACTAACACTAGTGTATTTTTGAAATGTCTGTTCACGTACTCTGTCCATTTCTTCAGGGCTTAGCTCTGGAACATGTTTAACAGTGGGTGTGGCTCTGGCACTGAAAGAGGCATGCATATTGGTTTTGGAGAATTTGTAGTGGAATGTGAAAAGGGTGTGCTTTGATTGGCTTAAAGAAAATGCAGTGACTTTGGTTAAAGAAAAGGATTGTTTGATCATCACGTTCAGATGGAAGATTTTTGCTTAGTATGGATTTTGTAAGTGATGAATCGTAAGGAACTTCTTGAGCTGTTGAGAAGCTGACACGTGGGCTAAGGTGTTTTGTCTTGTCGTGGCGCCGTCTTAGCCTTTTGTTATCCAATTTTTCACGTTGACATCTTAGCTATGTTACTGGATGACTCGCACCGGCCCAATTGTTGCTCTTTTCTAGGAAAATAATATTGAATAATAATCGAAAAAAAAAAAAATATATATATATATATATATATATTTTGTATGTTATATATAAAAATTGTATAAATTTTATATACTTTTTCAACTAACGAATATAATTTTGGTGCGGGCTAAAACTGAAAAAAGCCTCACATTTTTCTTGTTGTCTTCCTTTTAATATTTCTTGATCTATTGCTAATTACACACTTTATTCATCTTTAAGGAAAGCAGAAAGAAAATAGGCTTTTGTGTGATAACGTATAGAATCATGTTTACCTTGTTTTCATCTTTTGTATTATGTGCATTTTAATTTTTCTAAAATATTATTACTATACCAATCATTTTGTAATACTTGTCGAAGTGTAACACTTTATTATAACAAAGGTTATACAATACTTCAAGTACAAGTCAGAGTATTTCTACATAGGTTCTATAGTTTCTTATTTGAAGAAAAAATTCCACACCACCAAACTAAAAATTGATTATAAGAAAATAATTAAAAAGCTAGTTGAAAAATAAGTCTTGATTGTCATGGCCCCAATTCCCCTCCGTAGGATATCGTGACGGCACCTAGTCTCTAAGACTAGGTAAGCCTAACACACATGCGAAAATAAATGAATTAATAATTTAAAATCTTAAAATTCAACAATTGATAGAAGGAAAAATCTCCACAACTCAGTACATATACAAATTTCTCAAAACTCAGCGAAATACAAGTCACAAGCTCTATGAAGTGACATTTAATATCTCTGTACATTAGAGTCTAATAAGGATAAGGAAATAACATAATATAGGTAGAGGGGGACTCTGAGGCCTGCGGACGTCGGCAGGTATACCTTGAAGTCTTCACGTACGGTCTCAACTCACTGATGTCTGGTCTGATAGAAAGTACCTAGATCTGTACAAAAAGATGTGCAAAGGCGTAGCATGAGTACACCATAGCGGTACATGGTAAGTGTCAAGCCTAACCTCGGTAGAGTAGTGACGAGGTCAGGTCAAGGCCCTATTGAAAATAATAAGAGACAAGACGAAAGATTTAACAATATAATAAAAATGACAGTGGAATGAAACAAGTAAGGAGTATGTCATAATTTAGCTACACAGACTTAAGGCAAATATACATCATTGAAGAAATCAAGGATGCTACAACACGGAATAGTACAACAAAACACAAGTGAAGGAATAGAAAATATCAACAAGAGTCACTACCGAGTTACCGCCTCGTAGTCTCAAATCATAAATAAACTCAATATCTTTCCTTATATCACCGCGGGAACCTTTACATTTAGTTTTAAAAATTATTTTTTCCGAAATAGCATCCCATGTTTTAGCCACTTTATCACACCGCATGACTTCTAGTAGTTCCCCTACTAGCAATGCGTATCAAGTCCACCTTATCTCACCGCATGTGTTTCAACACCCACAACTTATACCACTGCATGTGTATCAATATCACAACATATCACAAATCACACCTGAAGTGCCCAAATATTACAACTTGCCAAAGAAATCAACAATAATATTATTTTCCATAATAAGGAGCTCACGGCTCAGCCAAAATGTACACAAAGTCTCAACAAAATAATTGGAAGTAAATAACTCAACAACATAGTATTTCACAATTTATCACTTTGCCTCAATGGAAATCATGGCCCTTGTAAATTCATTGCCATCTTCAACAACAAGATATTTCACAAAAATGACAACTTCAAGTAAAGAGTTCAACAGTCAAATAATGAACACGGAATAAAGGGAACAAGTACTTCAACCAAACAGGTAGAGCAATTAGCAAGAAAAAGGTAAGGCAAATGGAACATGTGAAAATAAACTAATGATAACGAATATAACATGATAAAATAACTCAACTAATGCATGACAGGAAATCTACATAATTAAATTCGATAATTTTCACATTTGGCCCGTGCACATACTCGTCACCTTGCGTACACGGCTTTCACACATTGCAATTATCACAACAACATCAATCCTAAAGGGAATTTTCTTCACAAAAGGTTAGACATGTCACTTACTTCAAATCGCTCTAACTCAATACACTAGTAGGTAGTTTCCTCGATTATCCAACTCCAAATGGCTCAAATCTAGCCAAAATAATTTCATACTATAAATATAACCATATGAAACTAATTCAAACGATAAAATTTATGATATTTGCAAAGAAATAAAAAGTCAACTCGAAAAGTCAACATGGTTCCCACGTCTCGAAACTCACAAAAGTTACGAAATTCGGACACACATTCGATAACAAGTCCAACCATATAAGAATCACTTAAATTCGAACTCAAATCGTCTTTCAAAATCCCAAATTTTAGCCTAAGAAGTTTTCACAATTTTTCCCCAAATTTTCAACTCAACTCACTAATTAAATGATGAAAATAACAATAGATTCATGAAATATAGTCAAAACCGAGTTGGAATCACTTACCCCAACAAATCTTTGAAAAACTCTCGAAAAATCACCACAAACCGAGCTCTCTAGGTCCAAAAATAAAAAATGAGATGAAACCCTCGTTTATATGGTACCACATTTGATCTCCCAAAGTGCTGACCACACATTTTTTGTGTGGTCCGCACTTCCAAGTTCCACGGAAGCGATCCAAATTGCGCGGCCGCACTTCAGCAGTAATTGCACTATAAGGCTTCAGTAATTTGACCATAACTTTCGGTACAAATGTCTAAATGAGAAATGATTTAACTTTTTAAAAACTATATTCAAAGAGCTACAACTTTTATTGTTGGATCATCTCCAAATTCCTTATAGATTAAAAGATATAAATTTCCGAAGTCAAATCATCAACCTGCAGATTTCCCCCTTTTGCGGTCCGTGCTTTTTCCACTGCGGTCAGCATATTTTCTATTGCAATGCACATAATTTCTACTGTCTCCACGCTCTGTGAGTTTGCGGCCGCACATGAGCTTTGCATCAGCACTCAAAAATGTGCCCTCCGCACTTGAACTGCTCCAGAACATCATCAAAGTGTCGAAATGCCCAAACTTGTTCAAAACTCACCTGAAACACACCTGAGGCCCCCGAGACCTCAATCAAACATACCAACAACTACTAAAACATCATACGAACACGCTCGAAATATCAAATCACATCAAACAACATTAGAACCACAAATCGCGCATCGATTCAAGCCTAATGAACTTATGAACTTTCGAATTTCAAAATTAATGTTGATTCATTCCAAAACAACCGCAGTTGACTTTAAATTTTGCACACAAGTCATAAATAACACGACAGACCTATTCCAAGTTTCAAAATCAGATTCCGACCCCGATATCAATAAAGTCAACTCCCGATAAAACTTTCCAATCTTCCAAACCTTAAATTTCCTAACTTTCGCTAATTCACGCCGAAACAACCTATGGACCTCCAAATAAACATCCGGACACACTCATAAATCTAAATCACCATAGGGAGCTATTGAAATCATCAAAACTCCATTCCGGGATCGTCTACACAAAAGTCAAACTACGGTCAACTCATACAACTTAAACTTTCAACTTAGGGACTCTGTGTCCTATTTCACTCCGAAACCAAAACCAAACATCCCTTCACATTCTGAAACCACAATATGACAAAAAAGAGGAAATAATAGGGGATAGGGCTAAAATATTCAATACGACCGGCCGGGTCGTTACAGTGATGTACTTTCTCATTATTTAAATTGAATAATATATTGTTGTACTCTTTTAGTATNAATAATAAGTAAATGCGTATTTTATTCTAGTTTAAAGGCATATCTGAATAATTTATTAAAAATAAATAATTTTTTCGATCACTCTATGTACTAATCAAATTGACCTTAAATTGAAGCATTACAGTTTTTTTCTAGTTTCATTTGATATGATTGAGATACTCTAGGGTGTAGTACCACTTTATTTGCTATAATTATTTGTTGAGTATTTTTTAAAAATAGTTAATTTTATATTTATGTATTTTGAAATTTATATAATGTTGAATTCTCTATTAAACATAGAGGAAGTACCAACTAACTTTGATCATAGAGGGAGAAGTATAATCATGCATAATGATACTTCTCATGCTGCCTAATATATAATAAAGAAAACAATTCCCTAAGTTAGTTGTCTTAATTTTTTGTTTAGATTATTCTCAAATCATGTTTTATGGAGGGAGTTATTTTATATAATTTGAACAAATTTCAATTTTCTTTAATAAAAAAAGGGACTTGAAACTATATTTTACTTAAATGTTTTTCCCTGATCTTATAAAGTGTTCCAATTGAAATTGCAATTTAATGAAAATTTGTATAAAATGATATCAATTGATATTAATATAAGAACATCTTAATAAAACTCTACATAAATTATTTCCACCTTTTTTTAATATTCTTTACCAAAAACATTCAGTAAATAAAACAAATGAAATAATTTTTCTTAAGGAGATAATGGATTTATTATATATAAATGTATGTTACCGTTGTATGTTTTTAATCAAATGAACGTTTAAATTATAAAATTACCTAATAGATAATTTTTCTAGTTAAAAATACTTATTAAAAAAATATGTTTTAAACAATGAAAGTGAGAACTGAGAAGTAATCTACTTTCAAACAAATGAAAAAGTGGCAGTAGTCAAGTACTGCACTTAAAGAAAGTTAAGATTGAATGGAAAGTGGGGTCCACTTGAAGATTTCAATAACTTAGGCCTACGTTACTTTTGATTTTGTCGGTTATTGGGAGGAACCCACAACCAAACTTTTGAGCCTAATGTACAAGCACACAATGCAGTTATATTTTTTAAATGACCATAATGCCCTTGGTCGACCTCCTCTTCTCTCTTCTATATAATAGACTAGATGGGCGGTGCCCGT